CTTGTCCCAAATCAAGGTATTTCAGGTTTGCTTTAAACCCTTATAAAGAGGATGGATGGTTAAATGGATGGGAAAGATTGTTACCTTTCTATTTCTTCTCTGCTGAAACTTTCAGAGGTGGGGACAGTTACTGTTATTGATCATGTTACTTATAATATATCCGTAGTCATCTACACTTCAGAGTAGTAGTTCTCAACCAGGGGACATTTGGCAATGTCTAGAGATGTTTTTACTTGTCACAGTTGGGGAGTTTTTGTGGCATTTAGTGGGTAGAGGTCAGAGATTCTGCCAAACATCCTGTAGTGTACAGGATAGCCCTTCACAACAAAGAATTATCCAGCCCAAAACATCAATAGAGCCAAGGTTGAGAAACCTACCTTATGGTGGCCTAGTGGTTTAGAAGGAAAATGCAGAAAACATAAACATCTTAGAAATGAGCTTCAGCAGCCCATAAATGAAGCCAGGTGTATTTTGTCAAGTGACAGTGGCTTTCTAAAAAGTACATATTTATGTGTGTTATAGCAATAATTACATGGGGACAGACTCAGAAACATTTATTATGCTGAATAATCTTTGAAAAGCAGAGGTTCTTAAATGTGCCATGGATCCTTCGGCAGTCTAGTGAAATGAAATTAATGTTTTTAAATGCATAAAATAAAATGTGTAGATTACAAAAGATACCAATTACATACGTAAAAATTCAAAATCGTGATATAGTAATATATCCTTTATTAAAGCATTAAGTTGTATAACAGGTAGCATATTTAATATTTTAGACTCTCAAAAACCAGCTCTAGAGAAGATAGATAATACCTTTATGGATAATTTAAAAAACATGATTTATCCACAGCAAAGATCTTCCCTAGCCAAGAGGAAAAGCCTTTTGTTGATCTGATTTTCAGAAAATCATTTACATAGTGGTTCTGAATTTGGGGTACATGAACTTGGATGGGGGAAAAAAATCATGTATATATATTTTTTTACCTTTAACTTAAATTTCACATTTTCTTTAAATTTGGTCAACAGAAATCACAATAGTATTAGGACCTATGACTCACCAATAGAAAGCACAGATTTTTTTTTATTAAATTACAGTTGTTTCAGATTTCTTTAGACTTCACAATTACCGTTGTTTCTAGATTAGATATCAAGAATATTCAGATAAATTATAACTAAAATATATTGATGCTTAGATCAGTGTCTTGCATGAATAAATCATTCATATAATCTTGTTTTATTAAAAAACCAGGTCATTTCATTTTGGTGAGGTTTTGATAATAGTAGATGAAAGTAGGTAAAATGAGTGCCAAAGCAAAAGATTGACATACCAGATGAATTTGCATCCAAAAAAAATTGGGAATTACTGCTCTGGAAAGTATAACTTTTTTCCCAAGCCTCTTTAATCTTCCTTATCAAGAAGTAGTTTTCTGAATAAACATTTTCATCCTTATTCCCTTATTTTCTAAGACTAGTATTTCAATCCTTAGCCTATCTTGTGTGAACATTTGAGTATCCATTTAAAGACAATTTATGATCTAATCCTGAAAAAAATGTTAATACCTATCTTTTTAAATAATTCCAGATAAACAGCATCTATTTTAGGAAATTTGATCAGAAAATTTTGATTCCCAGTATTCAGCACAATAGCATCTTAGTTTTAGTGAGAAGCAGGTTGATCATTTATTAGCTTTGAATAACAAAAATTATATCTATGCAATACTCAGGAATTTTCCATCTTTTTAAAAAAATTAATTAAACTTTATTTTTTAGAGCAATTTTAGGTTCACAGCAAAATTGAGCAGGAAGTATAGAGTTCCCATTTATTCCTTGACTCCCACTCCCAACCCTTGTGCACAACATTCCCCATTATCAGCATGCCCCACCAGCATGGTACATTTATTACACTCAGTTTGTTACAGTCTGCATTGACACATCAACACCCAGAGTCTATGGCATCATGCTTTAACAAGCTGAAACACTCAAAAATATTTAGTATCTGGAGTTCGAGTGTTTGAGTTCAGATTATTTTACTTGTATAAAGACTCAGTTTTCTCATCTTTAAAAGAGAAATGCACATCAGAACTACAATGAGGTATCACCTCATACTGGTCAGAATGGCCATCGTCAAAAAATCTGCAAACAATAAATGCTGGAGAGGGTGTGGAGAAAAGGGAACCCTCCTGCACTGTTGGTGGGAATGTAAATTGATACAGCCACTATGGAGAACAGTATGGAGGTTCCTTAAAAAACAAAATAGAACTACCATACGACCCAGCAATCCCACTACTGGGCATATACCCTGAGAAAACCATGATTCAAAAAGTCACTTGTACCCCAGTGTTCATTGCAGCACTATTTACAATAGCCAGGACATGGAAACAACCTAAATGTCCATCAACAGATGAATGGATAAATAAAATGGAACATTACTCAGCCATAAAAACGAATGAAACTAGGTTTTTAGAGATGTGGATGGACCTAGAGTCTGTCATACAGAGTGAAGTAAGTCAGAAAGAAAAACAAATATCGTATATTAACACATATATGTGGAATCTAGAAAACTGGTACAGATGAACCTATTTGCAGGGCAGAAATAGAGATGCAGATGTAGAGAACAGATATGTGGACACGGGTGGGGGAAGGGGAGGGTGGGATGAATTGGAAGATTAGTTCTGACAAAAATACACTGCTATGTGTAAAATAGATAGCTAGTGAGAACCTGCTGTGTATTTCAGGGACCTCAGCTTGGTGCTCTGTGATGACCTAGACGGGTGGGATGAGGGGGAAGGAGGGGATGTGTATATATATATATATATACATATAGCTGAGTCACTTTATTGTACAGCAGAAACTAACATAACATTGTAAAGAAATTATACTCCAATAAAAATTAATTAATTAATTAAAAAATAAAATTGGCATCATAGGGACTTCCCTGGAGGTCCAGTGGTTAAGACTTTGCCTTCCAGTGCAGGCGTGCAGGTTCAATCCCTGGTCGGGGGGCTAAGATTCCTAATGCCTCACAACCAAAAAACAAAACAGAAGCAATATTGTAACAAGTTCAATAAAAGTGGTTCACAGGGACTTCCCTGGTGGCGCAGTGGTTAAGAATCTGCCTGCCAATGCAGGGGAAACGGGTTTGAGCCCCGGTCCGGGAATATCCCACATGCCGCTGAGCAACTAAGCCCATGCGCCACAACTACCGAGGCTGCGCTCTAGAGCCCACAAGCCACAACCACTGAGCCTGCATGCTGCAACTACTGAAGCCCGCGTGCCTAGAGTCTGTGCTCTGTAACAAGAAAAGCCACCACAGTGAGAAGCCTAAGCACCGCAACGAAGAGTAGCCCCCGCTCAGCAACAAAGACCCAACGCAGCCAAAAATGAAATAAATAAATAAATTTATTTTTAAAAAATATGGTCCACATCAAAAAAAATTGGCATCATAATAGTTTCTACTTCATAGACTTGGTGTGAGATTTCAAATGATACTTGCATATACAGTGTAGCATACTAAGGTAAATGCTCAGATGTTTACAGTGATGATGATTATTGCTTAAAAGTACATATTTATATAAATATATTAAAACAAAAATGAATTTTTCATTTTTTCTTTTTCTGTGTTCACTTATTTTAATCAAAACAATGTATGCATTTTAAAATAAGTTAGAAATTATTCACTTTACAAATTAACTTGCTGTGGGATTTCTGCAGTTACTAAGCTTCTGCAGTGAATTAAATGACTGATTTGTCAAAATTTAATTTCCGTGATTTTCAGGAAAACGTATAATTTGCAGGGGAATTTATCCATATGATGTTTTATAAGCCTGTGTTTATATTTGTATCAAAGCCTTATGTAAACAAATCCTAGAAATCAAGGTTAAACTTAACTTCAAATGCCATTAAAACTAGATTCTAATGTTTTATTTCTAAATTATATCTTTGTAGATATCAAGAATGCTCATCTAAAAAATAAGTGTCTTGTGAAGAAGTACTAACTACTCTATGGTTGCTTTCAGTTTTCTCCCCCTCTAAATATGGGCAAAATGATCATTTCTTGGGGTGTTAAAATTCTGCTTATGAGTTAGTCAAGATCTTGATAATATCCCAGAAAGCAATCAGAATGCTGCACATCTGCCAACTAGTAAACTGGCCAACTGCTTGTAGGCTGTGTCACTAATAATGTTTAGGATGAGGGAGTTTTAAATAAATGTTCTTATGGATCATATATTATGATGTTACTTTTATTTGTGTGGGAGTATATATATGGCTAATTTAATTGTACAGAATAACTAGAGCATGGTAAGTTCTTGGTTCTGGTTTATCTTAGATTTTGATGGTAGGTTGATTCCTTTTGCTTTTTTAGTATTCTTTCTTATTTTTTCTCTTTGTTTTAATTCTTTCCGACATTAACTACTCATCTTACAGTTTCATCCTTTTTTACTTTTCAAACTTGAAAAGTTTGTATTTGGGACTAATTGTATATATTTATGTGTTTAAGTAATTTATAAAGGCAGATACTGTTCCATTCTGTTTTGGGCTAATTTTTATTCTTGTGTTCTGTGAAGAATTCCTTCATTCAACAACAAATAATTATTAGGCTTCTGTTAAGTGTCCAGTACTGTTCTGGCACTAGGGGTATAACAGTGAATAAAAACCTTTGTCCTCAGAGGAGTTTACATTCTGGTCCCAGTGATTGATTATGGTTCTGATAATGAGTTTGATAAGGCTGAAAATGTAACTTTTTCTTTTCTGTGAATACAGCTTTATAAAATAACCATGAAGCATGCTAATGAAGTTAATAGAATACTTGAGTTCCCATTCTTACTCATATAAATAAGAGAGTAGTATGTTAGAAAATCACAAATATTTAAACCATAGTTTTTATTATTTTCAAATCTGCTGTTTGTTATCCTTGTTAACAGTTTATTTTTAATCAGACTTTATTCTTTTTTTTTTTCCCTTTGGAGTTCATTCTTTTGTTTCTAATCTTTCTTTTCCAGAAACTGGCAGACCTTTCTCTTCGTATCCAGCAAATTGAAACAACTCTCAATATTTTAGATGCAAAGGTTTGTATTTCTGAATAATTTATAGGATAAACTTTGCTCTACATATACCAGCTTTCTCAGTCACACTTAACTTTAATTGCGTTTAGAGATGAATTCAATTTAGCTCCTGCATCCATGAAATGGTGCAGTGTTTTCTTTTGTTTAATTTATTATAATTGCAAAGGAAATGATCTTCATTATGAACCACTAACCGAGTCTGTTTAAATGTTTCTTTCATTATTTGAATCAAAAGCATAATGAGTAACATGTTAACAAATTGAACTGTTACATAGTTTACTTCATTTGATGGAAAACTCACAATTATCTTAATAGTAATCATTGATAACACAGGAAAAATTATGTAAAACTTTACATGTCTCCAGAGCAAAATTTGGAGAAAATATCACCTATTTTCCATTTGTAAATATATTAAATGGTAAAGAATACCAATTTTGATGTCAGAAATTACAAAAGATAACTTTTTATCTTATAACAGCAAAAATAGAAGCATTGTTTGATTTGAAGCTTGCAGGTTTTGTGTCCTTTTCTATATAAAATAATGGAGATGCTAGTATATTTTTGTGACTTTGTCCTTTTTTTTCTTTAACATCTTTATTGGAGTATAATTGCTTTACAATGGTGTGTTAGTTTCTGCTTTATAACAGAGTGAATCAGCTATACATATGTGACTTTGTCCTTTTATCCAAAAGTTGATCTGAAAAAATATGTATTGAATGTTTATAAGGAAGTGAAATGACTAATATCTTTTAACATAAGGATCAGAATGTCTAGCTTGTACTTTCTACATCTTCCTGTGGACTTCAGCCACTGTATTTCCCTCAGAACATTTCTGTAGATTGTAATTTAGGATACTTGGCCTTGAACATGTTCAAGATAGTCTCTTAGTAGCCATACCCACTTGAAACTATTTGGGCCATAGCCACTGTGCTAAATACTGTCATCAGTCAACAGTTCTCAATGAATATTGCTTCTTCAGGTCTTATTACCATTGGTTTTTCATTATTCTTTATAATGAATATGTGTATTATTTTAATGTTTGTGGAATTCTTAAGTTAGAGTTCAAGGTCACAAGTTAAGTTGCCATATGGACAGATTAACCTTAATTTTTTCCATGGCCATAGAGTTAATCCTCAGAGTTAGCCAAACATTTGACAAATGTATATCATTGATATCAGGATGAAATCAGAAAAGAGGGTTTGCATGGATCTTGCAAATCCAACCTGAAATGCTTAACCACTGACAACATGCTCATTTTTTGTGTATGAAAAATAATGCATTTTAGTAACATTCAGTGATGTTACTAAAGAAAAAAAAAGGAATAAGCTATATCATACATTAAAATGTGGCAAGAGTTTTCTCATTTCCCAGATTATTCAAACTTAAAATGTGCTACAAAGCACATTTTGAGGGGAGGGGTAACAAAATATGTTTAATAAAAATCTTTTTGCAACTTTGTGAGCTAGATTTTCTTATCCCCACTTTACAGGTAAGAAAATTGAGGCCTAGGACGATTTACACAGCGTCACATATTTTGTGACTTAGACCTAGGCAATATGACTCCAAATCCCATGCTCTCATTCCTTACACTAGGATTCCTTAGATTTTAAAAATAATTCCTGAGAAAGAATGGTGATATGCTAAATTAGATTGGTGAGAAATTCTTCAAAAATATTTTATTTGTGAATGCCTTTCACTTTTAAGTAGTTTATGGCATGGAGAATTTCAACCAAAGATGAGATTTTATAAACCTATTTCTACAGGCTTAAAAACTTAAGACAGCTATTTAAAACACACACACACACACACACACACACACACACACACACTTAGAAACTTAGTGTTTAAGAACCTAATATTATCCTCATATACCAACATTAATTTTCTTTTCTCAGTTGTCATCTATCCCAGGGCTAGATGATGTCACATTTGAAGTATCTCCTGTAAGTGTCACTAGGATCACAAATGAAACACATTCTGAAACCACTTCAGAGCAATCACAGGTAAGTATTTAAGTTCCGGGAAACATGAGCAGATATCTTGGTTGAACCAAATAGACCTAATCAGCAGGTTTGAAGAAAGAAGTTAAATAAAAATGTAATACTTTGAATAGTAATATTTTAAACCTTAAGATAGAAAATGAAGTTTGAAAAAAAGTTATTAGCTTTTCATTTGTTATTTTGAAGGGCTTCCTAAAGTTAATATTTTTCTTGCCTATAAAAAAAAGAAAACCTATACAGAACTAGGAAAAATCTTGAATATAATTGTTTTCTTCAAGTTCACTATGGAAGTTTTTTTCTTAGTTCTTATAAGAAATGTATCTTTTAAATGTTTTATTATAAAAACTTTCAAACGTGAACAAAAATAGAATAGTACAATGAATACCCAAATGCCCATTACCTGGATTCACCAGTTAAGATTTTGTTGCAAATGCTTCATCTTTTTTTGTCACTTACTGAAGTGAATTCCAGGCATCATGTTATTTCACCCCTGTATAATTCCTTGTGAAAAGTTCTGAAATTTTCTTGTGTAACCACAATGCCTTTATCATATACAATATAATTAACAATAATTCCCTGGTAATATCTAACTCCTTGTTGCCTGAAGTCTGCTCCATGGGCCAGCAGCCTCAGAATCACCTGAGGGCCTGTTAGAAATGCAGGATTTCAGGTTCTACCCCACACTTAAGGAATCAGAATCTGCATTTTAACAAGATTCCTATGTGATTTGTAGACTTGAAATTTGAGAGATCCTGATCTAAGAAATACCAGTTTTGGGAGTTGATTTGTTTAAATCAACATCCTAGTAAGACCCATGCTTTGTGTTTGTTTCTTAATGTCTTAATGTTCATTTATGCTCTGTATAAATTTAAATTTTATATGACTTTTTATTTCAAGAAATAAAAATTCTTTATTGTTTAAGAACAGATAATCTCTAGTGTATCTCAGTGAGGTATTAAAATCCAAAATAAAATAATCACTAAAATGGTGGTCTAACAAGTAGTACCAAGCAAGCAGACTTCCTATCTATATGGAATTCTGCATTTGTACCTGGAGGTACTTTTCACAGGATATTTTTTAGATCATGATGGTGTTGACCATGATGATAATAACTAAACATGTAAAGGTTTTTACTGTGTGAGGCGTGCTAAGTGCTTTTTATAAATTAAATCAATTCTCACAACAGCCCTATGTCTACAGATACGTCAAATGAGGTACACAGAGGTTAAGTAACTTGCTGAAGGTAAACTGTAAGAGCTGGAATTTTAACCCAGGCAATCTGGTGTCAAGAATCCTAGCTCTTATATGCTACACTGCACTGTCTCCAGCACCTGTGTTGAACTTGTTAAACATATTGAGTACATGTGGTACAAGGCCCTGTGGGATGAGCCATATATTTAGAGATATTATGTATTTGGGGAATGAATTAGATGACCATTTACTTAATAATTAGATATTAGAAAATTTAACATCCACTTAATATAACAAATTCCATTATGATGGCCACTGGACTATATATAATATACAAGAGTAAATCCAGATGTTTAGAGGAGTTTAACTTCACAAGGTTTTTTCAGTTAAAGATGGACCATTCTTTCTCTAGAACAAGGCATGTGTAAAAAATATTAAATGTTTCCACCCTACCTAGTAATTATTCTTTGGAGGATACTAACTGTCATATGTTTCTATAAATTTCTAAAATGGTATCTAACTTTTAATATTAATTTTTCCAGGTGTTATTGTGCATGCCATCTATAATATGTATTTTAAAACTTATGCAGCTGTGTTGGTCTTGCCTATTTAAGGTCTCAAAAAACTGATTATGAGTAATCACAACTGAATTATCTAAAATTCAGAATGACCTGATATTCTGGCAGTTTTATTTAAAAATAGTATATTAATTCATTTGGAGAATTTATGAAGTGTTGTTGGCTTCCTGAGTTTTAAAAATGTCCTAAAATTGTGTCTTGATTGGATTAATAAAATCAGCATGTTCAGCATGTTCTTAATATTGAAATCAACTTTTTAATTTCTTCTCCATTGTTTTTAGTTGGTATATTTTATGTAAAATATTTTGAAATGGACTGAAGTATTGCTTAACACAGAATTTCCATTGACATTACAGTCAGCTCACTTATCAGATACAGGATAATCGTGAACTTTTTTTTTAATCATCCATTCATTACAATCTCCAATCTATTGATATATATGAGTCAAAGACCCAAGGTTTGCATGCTGATTTTTCTGCAACTTTAATTTCATGGTTCAGATCTTATCATTACTCACAATAGAACATCCAATTGTGCAGATTGAGATTAATTTGAGAATAAAATGAAGGACAGTTGAGAAATATGAGAGAGGATTTGGGTCATTCAAATAGCAAAGGTGTAAGACCTGATATAATTAAACCTTGTTGAGGTCTTAGTTATTAGGCCAAAGTTAAAGGCTGAGTTTTAAAATCCATTGGTCTTATATGTAATTATCATTTGCTCCATTGTGCTACTCTATGAGTTTATTGTTCCTATTTTTTTAAAAGCATACTTGGGTCTTGTTTGAATTTTTTATTTAATTAAATGTTTTGGACAGTTTGTAATTATGTATTTTACAGATGAATGTGTATATATACATATATATACACACACATACACACACACGTGCGTGCACACTTTTGTACACTTGACACTGTCATATAACAGGAGTAACCTAAAGAATTTTTGGATGTTTTATTTGCTTCAGCATTTAAAAGAGATTTAATTTATATTTGAATTATCTGAGGAAAAACCTTAACATATAATTCATATTCTAAAAACTATGAATACTTAAAGATTTTTTTGATTTATTTACAATTTCAGCATAGATAGGTAGACATAAAATTGATTTTATTCAGTTAAGGAACTTACTCTTAATGCTAACATACAGATAGTGAGTCAGAATTCACTAACTAGACTTACTCTAAATGTTTAGGTTGATAGAAAAATCAAGAACTGTATATAGACAGTCATAGCTGCACTAAAGTGAAGATAGGGTTCCAATATGGACAAGTTTCAGTTAACATTGTACCACGCAAAGTTGAGAACTGCCTATACGATAAAAACATTTTTGTCCATAAAGACCATTCCCCAGTATTCTTCATTATAAGTAGTAGTTTTTATAATGTTAATAATTTCATCAGTAGCTGAAATATATAAAAACATAATTTTGTCTGAGAAATGGGTTTCTCTTCCACAAGTTCTCCAGGCATTGCCTTTAAAGATGTTAGAATAGCCATATCCACTTAGAACAAGATTATTCGATGAATGAGGAATATAACTGTGTAGACAGTATAGATACCCAGAAAATCAATTTTCTGTCCGCTACAGTTGAACAATTGACAAATCAGATAGCATTATTAGCTTTATTAAAAGTTGTATTAAAATAATAGGTCCATCAATAATTCATGTTTTTTATCAGCACTTGGGACAAGTAAAGCAAAATTCTAATTTTTTAATGCCATGAATGTATTTACATCTTTACGGAACAATATAGTGTTGATATTAAGTGTAACTTCCTCTGAAATCATATTTAAGTATTTGTAAATATTTGGAAACATATATCCCATAATTAAATTATTGGTAAATTTAGAAATATGATTTTTTTCTGATATTGATTGCTTTAGAATTATAAAAAGAAACATCCCTTTTAAGTAACATGACGGACCCCTTTTGTGAATTGTCTAAAGTTTTATACGCAATACTCTCTACAGCTGAACAGTTTACAAGACTCTGGACCACAGGAAAGTGAAGTAACACCAGAAAATATCTTAACTGTAGCCAAGGATCCAAGATATGCCAGATATCTCAAAATGGTTCAAGTGGTAAGCTAATTTGGTCTGTCTTCTCTGTCTAGCAGCCTCCTCTGAAGTTCTTAACCCTGGAGGTTTCATTGTTATTTTTTCAATCTGAGAAAACTGCTAAACCGAGTGACCAAGTTTTCTACTCTCTTACTTCTTTTCTATGTTTAATGAATGCCCTGATAAAGAGTAAGCAGAAGTCGAATCTTCTAATTAAAACTGACCTCACACTTCAAATTAACATAGTTTAGTATAGATTTATGTAAATTTTTTGCTTTACGTAATCTTTGCAAATCTTGAATGTATCAGATAGAGGAATGAAAGTGGACTATTCACTTAGTAAATCGTATGGCTTTAGCTTAATTTCCTGTATGCTAACACAAATGGTTTTTTGTGTATTTTTATTCTGAATTTCACCTGTCAATAGTTTCGTTCATAGAAAAGAGCATAAGTCACTTGGCCATGTAAGGTAATGCTTTTAATATTATGACTTGAGAATGTGTATTTTTTCTAAGAAATCATTACATGGTATGCAAAAAAGTACAACACAATATTTGCTCTTCTATAACAGCAGAAGTTCATTTCATTCCTGTAGAAAGTCCTATTACAGTAGTTGAAGGACCTAGCTGTCCATTTTTCAGTTGATCAGAAAATTAATCCTTCTGTAAAATTCTGTTATCAGGCAAAAGAAGGACTGATATTAAAGAAGAACAGTTTTGCTGTTCTTGGCATTGTTTATCACCAAAATAATTTAAAAACTAAGACTGTCTGACAACCAGAAAGAATAGATTGGCTATTTAGAAGCTACATTGGTGACAATGGGGAGAAGAAAGTACATTCACTTTCTCTAGCTGTCAGAAGTAGCTGTGTCACTTTCAAAATTCTTAATTGACAGTCAAAGCTCTGGACTTTAGGCTTTGGGGAAAAAAACAGACTTTGGGTTGAAAATATAAATTTTTTAAACTAATAAAAATAAAATAGAGCTAGTTTGAGTGTGAATCATGATAAATGAATTTTTAAAACTAAAACCCAGGAAAGCTTAAGCTAAGCTTAAAATATGGACTGTTAAAAAATATGTCTTTGACACTTTCAAACAAAAGATGAAAAGTTTCAGAGTAACTCTGAAAGGCTATTTATTTAGTCTCTTCTTGCCTAACCTATATAAAATAGGAAATGGGAAAATCTACTTGATATCTATGACTGCCTTGAAATATTTGATAGAAGACCACATCTTAGGATAATTGTTATATTCTTAATACATTGCCTCTGACTTTACAAGAATTTGAAAAATCCTCATTTTTCTTTTCAGTATTAATCCACTGTCCTTTTATTCCACAAATATTAAACACTTACCCTAGGTACCATATTAGATATTGTCTAGATTTATTTAGCCAACTAAGGTTCACAGACACCACTTGACATTTTTATTTTTGTTATTAATTACTTAGACAAATTTCATTGCTTTTCAGAATTTCATATATAATATATATCATATGTTTGCATGTATATATGTAAATGATTCTTTACATATTTATTCTTCTAATCATGTAGCTTACCATCTCACTAGGAATAAAAGCCAAAGTCCTTCAGAGGCCCGTGAGATGCTATACAATTTAGTTCCCTAATTACCTTTCTAATCTCATATCTTCACTCACTCTGCTCCAGCTCTACTGTCCTCCTTGATGTTCCTTGAATAAATATATAGACAGTCGCGTGTCTCGGGGCCTTTGCATCAGTTCTCTCTGCCTGAAACACTTTTCCCAAATATCTTTATGGTTTTGCTCCCTCTCTTCCTTCAAATATTTGCAGAAATATTACCTTCTTTCTAGTCCCATTCCTTTTATTCCTTCCCTACTATATTTTTCTTCATATAACCATCTAATTATATGCAAAACACTACATATTTTATGTACATTGTTTGTGTGTCTACTGCTCCTAGAATATGCACCTTTTTGTTTACTGCCCTATTCCCAGTTCCTAGAACCATACCTGGCACATAGTATTTACCTATGAATGAAAATGATGGTATTTTTCTCTATACTGTTTTAACTTTTGATAGGTTTTGGTGATAGATTTCTTTTTTACACTAGCTCAGTGGTTTTTAGAGTAAAAAACTTGTTCAAGATATAGGTTTCTAGTTCCCACCCTACTAAATGAGAATCTTTGCAGTTGGGACTCAGAGCCAGAGTATACGTGCTTTGAGAAATGCTCTTCTGATTAAGAACTGTTTAAAAATATTTTACACTGTTTTGGTTTTTTTTTTAATAAATTTATTTACTTTACTTTTGGCTGCGTTGGGTCTCCGTTGCTGTGCGCAGATTTTCTCTAGTTGTGGCGAGCAGGGGCTACTCTTCATTGCGGTGCGCGGGCTTCTCATTGCAGTGGCTTCTCTTGTTGCGGAGCACAGGCTCTAGGCATGTGGGCTTCGGTAGTTGTGGCACGTGAGCTCAATAGTTGTGGCTCGCGGGCTCTAGAGTGCAGGCTCAGTAGTTGTGGTGCACGGACTTAGTTGCTCCGTGGCATGTGAGATCTTCCCAGACCAGGGCTCAAACCCATGTCCCCTGCATTGGCAAGCAGATTCTTAACCACTGCACCACCAGGAAAGCCCCTTTACACTGTTTTATAACACCAAATAATTTTTATCTCAAAACATTTAAAAAGTTGATAGTTTTATTTCTTATATTTTAAACTATCTAATTCTGTAGCAGTATCTGGCACTTAGCTTTAGCCCATCCTTTTTGCTTGGTGTCACCATGAGCAGGGATTTAATTTTTTCTGCCTCAGACTTTTTGTTTTTAGCCCAATTTCCTTGATTTTAGTCCTTTGCCTCTCTTCTGCCTTTTGTACGGGTGTTTCTAATTCCTGAACATTTCCAGTGTTCTGGAAGTGCTGCTTCTTTGTGGTATCCTTCTCTTCAGGCACATGGACTTGGCCTTCCTTTGCTATGCTAAGTCATCATTCTTTTATCTGCTTTTAATTTCCATGTATTGTGGTTCGTGTATGCCTCTTAGTCATTAAAATTGGAGTTCGTGTTATTTCTTTTTGCCTTATTGTTTGGGGGTAATAATTTTCAAGAAGAAAGCAGGGACCAACATCTTTGCTTTGAAATTATAAGTTCATCCAAGTTAAATTTAATTTTATTGTTTTTAGTTCATCGTGCCAACCTGTATCCCAGAATCTTATTACCCAACTTTTGTTTCCTACTGCTCCCTGTCCTACATTTCATTCTTCAAACAAAACCACAAAACTTTCTCAATATAAGCTCCATGCTTTCCCACCTCTGAATCTAGATTCCCCTTCTCTTGACCACTACATGTCCAAATTCTACTCATCTGACATGTTCCTATGAACACTTTCACTAAATTATCCCAGATTCTGAACCCACCAACACATAAAGCCAGAAGTGATATCTTCCTTCGTCTATCTGTCCAACCACTTTATCTGTATTTTTTCTCACTTCATATCTTGTCCTTTGATAATTTTAAAATATTTTTATCTACTTGTGTTGAAAAGGAAATGAGTGGAAGAACTATATCTTGATCGATCTTTGTATTCACTTTAACACCTTACCTAAAAAGGTGCTCAATCAATATTTGTTTTTTTATTGGTGGTTTTTTGTTTGTTTGTTTGTTTTTTGGTTGTTTGAGGGTTTTTTGGCCGAGCTGTACGGCATGCAGGGATCTTACTTCCCTGACCAGGGATCAAACCGGTGCCCACTGCACTGGACTGCCAGGGAAGTCCCAATTTTAGAAGCCTACATTCTGGAATTTAGGGAATTGTTTGTATCAACAAAAGGAAAGATAGCATGGTCTCCAGAAAACCTGTCTTTCTGAAAAAATCACTATATACCAACAATATAAAAATCTACTCCTAAGATCCCCCAAATAACCATTCTGTATCCAGAAGGGAATTAACAGTGCCACAAGTTCTCTCCGCTACTAAGGACAGTAATAGGATTTCTTTCATTTTTAATTGCCTTTATATTTTTGTCATTTAAAAATATGAGTTGCTGCTCCATAAGCAGAGTCTTTCTTATACCTGTAATTCCACATATGCTTAGTTTCTCATCTTTTTCCAAAATATAATATTCTTCCACTCAGCATCTTAATACTTACTAAGTCCTCAACCCTCTTGTAATCTTTTCTCTTCCTTCCTTCCTGAATTGTTATTTAGAACTATGTCATTCTCTCTCATAAGACAGTGAGTGTGTTTCTCAAGCACTTTCAGCTTCTCCACTTGTATAAAAGTTTGAATTTGCTGACTACCCATGTAGTGATCACTCACTTCAGATAGGAAGACATAGAAAGTCCTGTAACTTACAAACCCTGATGTTTAAAAAAAAAAAAAAAAAACTCGGGCTTTCTGGGTATCAGGATGAACTACAGTCTTTTTTGGCTTTCTTTGTAAGATGCCCTGAAAACTTCCTCTTCCTGGGTCCTAGATATCTCCTGGAATGTATTGCTTTTATATTTGCTTTTCCTCACTTGTCACATACCTGTAAATCTACTTTAGAGACTAGGTAATTAAAACTGCTTAATATAAACTCCTTTAAACAGAAGCCAACAAAATCTTTCAAATGTCACAAGTACCAATGCACAGAGAAATAAGCTGTGCCCTTCTTTTTGGTCTCTGTACCTTTTTCTGTCACCCCTGGATTATTACCTTCTGTGAGGTACAAAATGATTACAGTTCCAGGAAGTAGTTACCTATGAGACAATTTGAATGCCTCAGGGTACACACCAAGATCTTTACTTCGTACTTCTGGGATGCAACATGCTATATAGTTTCTTAGCTTTGTCATGCAATCCTGTGTGACCATATTCAGACCATATTGGCTCTTAAGGTCTCAGTCCCCTCAAACATAAAATGATATCTAAAGTTCTTTACATTTATGATCCATTAATTGATCTCCAAATTTGGATCTCATTATTAATGAATGTTCCTGGAACACCTGCTGGCATTTACTGGTTTTTTTTTTTTTTTTTTCCTTTTAAAGCAAGTTTTACAGAAGATTTTTCAGTGAG